GATTTGCTATATATTTAGCGGATGCCATGATGCAGATTATTTTCGCAACTGGGTCGCGTTGTTAAGAATTGGAAATTTGGATCTGGAAGAAAGAGAATTCCTTAGTACTACTGCACTTATTGATGATGACAAAATCGAAATACTGATATAAAATGAATCCAGAACCCATGACACGGGGCATCGCAGTGATATTCTACATATTGCGTACCTAAAATCTTTTCAGCCTCTTTCACATCCAGTAACCCTTTGCGACTTGGTGAGACTATTGCCCTACTTTGGATGAATTGATTTAAAAGAAAATACTTACATCGGAATCAATGAGCCGTGTTCAACTTCCGGTTTAGTCTCTTTGGTCCTCTTTTCCATCGAATCCATCTGTTATCCTCCTAGCAATAGTTTAAATAGCAGTATAAATTGGGCCCTTTTACTTTGAATAGCATCTATTTATGAAGATGAGGAAAACTCTGAATTCCAATTCTTAGCAAAAGCAACTGTAAACTCTTTTAATATTTCTTCCAAGAAAGCATGGTTATGTTCAGATTATATGAACAGCGACATTTCTTGAGTAATTCAAGATTTAAAGAAAAGAAAATTAATAGGAACCATTTCCATCAGGGATTTTCTGGAATTAATTCGACATACGCTAGAACAAATTTTGTATACTTTTATTGTCAGACATTAAATATTTGTTATCATTTACATTATGTAGAAGAGCCCATAGATTCAAGTGATATAAGACGATATCACATTGCAACACAGGTTCCTGTATTGTACCCGCAGTTAAGCAACGTGGTCAGTACCTAGATAGGTGACTGCTTGGGAGTACCAGGTACTTGGATATAAAAGTCGAGTAACGGATAACTGCTCAGAATTAAAAATCAAAGAGCCGAGTTCCAATCTCTGACTGGTTCGTTATATTCACGTCGAAACATTGGTTCCCATACGATCAGCGAAGTTAAGCAAAGTCGAACATGGTCAGTAACTAGAGGGTGATCACTTGGGAATGCCAGGTTCTGCAGGCTTGGATGTGCGGATGCTGTATTGGATAATGGCTCGGTGAGCCGAGTTTCAGTTCCAGGTGGGTTCGTTATGTCCACCTACGCGCGATTCATACCTTGAGAAAGGTATGAATACACTTATTCTCTTCCAGCTATGGGTTAATTAGTAAAATTTGTATAAATAAATCATTATTCCCCCCCCACCCCGCAAAAGAAAATTTACAATCTAAATTAATTTCTGGCTTTAAATAACCTGCAACGAGTTGATAAGCCGTAGAAAACGAATCAATCTATCAATCAATCAGTTTAAATTCAGTTTCACTCAGATAGACATGGAAAATTTATGAATCCACATTTTTTCCGCCAGCTACGCGTTGATTAATAGGACATGTATCAATATACCATTATTATTCTCCAAAAGTTCGGAATGTAATTCTAAAAATATTATCTGACTTTGTACAACCTGCAAAAGGTTGATAATCCGTAAAAAGACAAATCAATCAATCATAGAATCAAGCGATTTAAAACAAAACAACTAAGACATTATGAGAACATTATACATTATTAAATGTATAATGTTCTCATAATGTTTTATTTCTTTACGACCTTCTTTACTTGTTTATTCTTTTCTGCTCGTTGTCAAATTCATTTTGCTCGAAGCTCTGATTTTTGATGACAATTCTATTAACGTAACTCATATTTTTGTTTGTTTGATTAGGCAATCCGCTGATTTAATTACAAATAAATAGCAAAATAATCAGATCCTCTTACCCTCTTTCTCTTCTCCATTTTCTCACCCCTAACTGAGGCCAAAAGAGATCAATACCCATAGTGACTACTATTTAGTGCCATCATTAGCGCTTGTGTTTGTTTTCGTCGATTCATATCTCTGATTTTGAATGATTCCTTGTCGATCCTCAGTGATATTGTCCGATCTAGCATCGATTCCTTTTCTTATCTCTCACTGAAAAAAAAGAAACCGCTTGGCAGGCCGTAAATATGCAAATGAACATTTAAAAATAGAATAGTCGAGAGTGGAGTGAAAATTAACTAAGGTTAACCACTAAAAGTCCAAATAAAGTGTCAGTGAAAATAAAAGATGTATATAGAAGTCATATTTTGTATTCAGTACGTTCAGAAATCACGAAACTATAAAACTATTATTATGAATAAAGATGGCTTCAAGCGAATGGATGCTCCAGTTCTTAAAGAAAACAATCCTTTAATCAGATCTGGTGAAGCTGAATCGGAAACTGTATCAAATAGCAGAAACCACATCACTGGAAGTCTTTTAGCAGCCGCAGCAGAAACTCCAGCTGCAGTAGCAACTCTAGGAGTAGCATCTCCGGCAGCAGCAGCAGCTCCAGCAGTTCCAGCAGCAGCAGCAGCAGCAACAGCAGCAGCAGCAGCAGCAGCAACAGCACCCTTTCCTCTATCACGCCTCTTTACTCTTGCTCCCTACTCTCTGTAACCTCTTGCGTGCTAGTGGCACTTCCGCCTTGCTTGGAGAGAAAGGCTTTAAAAATATCAACCTCTGTAGGTTATTTGATGCCGAAATGAGAATAATTTGAAAAATTTTATGGTTTCAACTAAATATATTTTGAACGTAATTGCATGACTTCAATACACTAAAATATGTTGTTGGTCATCTTGCTTTGAAAACGTGTTGTTGCTAATTTTACTATAAATAGGTATTGTTGCTAATTTTATTATTACATAAAAATGTATTGATGGTGTTTTTACTGAAAAATGTGTTTTTATACTTTCATAACACTTTGTTTGAGTTTTACTATTTGCCTAAACCTGAGATCCTGATAGGTGCTATCACCCCCCGGATCAGGGGGCACCTCGAACAACGACAATTAAGAGGTTGTTCCACGCTTGTCAAAACCTCCAGTTTCCTAATGAGAGGCCTTGCTGCCGGGTGTAGTTTATCGTCACAGAATGGTAGGGACGTTGTATATAGAAGTCATATTTTGTATTCAGTACGTTCAGAAATCACGAAACTATAAAACTATTATTATGAATAAAGATGGCTTCAAGCGAATGGATGCTCCAGGTCTTAAAGAAAACAATCCTTTAATCAGATCTGGTGAAGCTGAATCGGAAACTGTATCAAATAGCAGAAACCACATCACTGGAAGTCTTTTAGCAGCCGCAGCAGAAACTCCAGCTGCAGTAGCAACTCTAGGAGTAGCATCTCCGGCAGCAGCAGCAGCTCCAGCAGTTCCAGCAGCAGCAGCAGCAGCAACAGCAGCAGCAGCAGCAGCAGCAGCAGCAACAGCAGCAGCATGTGAAATGGATGCCACACATAAACTAGAAGGTAGAATATCAGAAGTCTTCTAACAGCAGCAGCAGAAGCAGCAGCAAAAGCAGCAGCAGCAGCAGCAGCAGCTCCAACAGCAACATCCTTGGTATTAGCGATAGAGCAGCGATAGGCCCGCAACATCCCGCCTGTGTGTGGGAGAGAGGTTGGAGGGTGGAAAGTAATTCGTCACCCAAAAGGACTCGGAGACGCTTTTGAATTCTATCGAGACTAGAAAGTGTGGTCTGGGCAGCTCTTGGCCAAATATGGCAACAGTACTCCATTTTCAGCCTGGTATAGATCTTTTAAAGGTAGAGGATAGCAGGGGCAGGTACTCACTGCAGTGGACAGTCGACCATTTTCCCAGAATCTTTGGCGATGTATTGTATGTAAGAGTTCAGTTTGAGATAAGAGTTGAGTGTATGGCTCAATAGTCTCTCAATGCACGGAGCCTCCCCGAGGTGACACACGTTCAGCGTAACTGTCGGTATTTTGTTGGTCCGATCGAAGGAATATAACTAGTTTGGTTTTTGATGCAGTGAATGTGATCAGCCAGTTTGCACCCCACTACTGGATAGTTAGGTCTAGAACAGATGAGAGATCAGCTGCCAAATTCTGATCATTAAGGTTTTTAGACGTGAACTCGTTACAAATGACCTGAGTATATTTTTAGGAAGATTATTAATGTAAATAAAAAAGAGGGTTGGTCCAAGAAGTGACCCCTGGATGACGCCTGCATCGACCGCCAGGGCGCCGGAGGACTTGCCCTTAATAACTACCTTCAGAGAGCTAACTGCTAGGAAGAATTTTTTTTTAATCAAGAAGACCCTTCTAGTTATACGATAGCTGGATAGCTTGTGTAGCAACATTTGTGCCACACCTATTTCGAGGTGTGTTTGTTCTCAGATTCCTGACTAATTCTGTGAGTAATAGTAGTTAAGACATCAGCAGTGGATCGGGTCGATCGAAATTTGTACTGTTCATCGCTGAAGAGGTTGTCTTGTTCTAGGTATTCGACCCCCTTGTTGATTGTAGCCACGAAATGCTTACTGATGATAATGAGGAGACCGATGGGTCTATACTGGCAAGGGGAAATTTTTTGCACCCGTTCCTTAAACAAAAAGTTAGGAATGAAACTCGCATGACTATTAGAAAGCAAGATAAATGATAGTGGATTTGAGAACCCTATTTTCCTGAAAATATATATTTTTTAAAAATTTCAATCGATAGTAACGCCAACTCTCATGTAAACGAATGCCGAATGTTTTCTGTATGAAAAGCGTTTTGAGAAAATCGCTGACGCTATTAACGTCAACATAATCATTCTGAACTTGATGCTAACCTCAAACGTGACTCTTCGAGCGTATCACGTTTGAATTCAGGGTTGAGCTGGATGATGTGCATAAATGATGAAGAAGCGGAACAAGGAGAATCCAGCCAAAAGTTCACAAAATCTATGAGGAATATCTGCTTATTACGTTATTTACATGGTTCACATGCAGACTATTACCTTCACCTACGTTCTTATTATCACGAAGCTTCGACCATTTTCCCTGACGGGCTTGTCAGAGAATTTCGAATTGAGACCTTTATTTAATCAAAGAGTGCAAATTGTTCTTGTTCTGCTCGCCGTGACCAGCATAAGCTTCCTTAGTTTTCATTTAGTACTGTTCACTTATTGCGCATTCCATTTACATCGATTGAAACACCGGTTCTCATACGATCACCGAAGTTAAGCAACGTTGACTCTGGTAAGTAGATAGATGGGTAACCGTTTGGAAATACCAGGTGCTGTAAACTTGGGTGTGCAGGTGGTGTAATGGATAACGGCTGGGAATTGTTTAACCGAGAGCCGAGTTCTAATTTCAGTTGCATTCGTTGTATTCACTTACGTGGAAATACAACTGGGAAAGTTATGGAAGTACCGTTTCTACCTCCAGCTATGGCTTAACTAGTATGACTTTTATTTATTATTCATTAATCCATGTTAAAAAAAATTACAATCTAAAAATATTTTCTGTCTTTAAATAACCTGCAATAGGTTTATTAGCCGTAGAAAACGAATCAATCAGTCTTTTTTCTCTTACGCTCAAATACTCATGGGGAATTTATGAGTCCACTTCTTTGACCTCCAGCTATGAGTTAATTAGTAGGAGATGTATGAATATATTTTTATTATATCCAAAAGTTTTTTACATTCTAAAAATATTTTCTGGTTTCAAATAACATCGATAAATCAATCAAATACTTTTTTATTCAAATACCATTGGGAAAAGTATAGACTTCAATGAATATTAGGAAGCGCGATAACAGTGGTTTTGAAAAGCCTATTTTCCTGAAAAAATAAAAACTCTTTCAGAGAAATATTTAAAAAAAAATTTCAATCGACCATAATGGCAATTCTCTGGTAAACCAATGCCAAATGTTTTCTGTATGAAACACTTTTGAAACATTCAAAAATTAAGAACAGTGGGTTGTATATCAAAATTCAGGAGTAAAATAAATAAATAAATAAAAATAATGCTCTTTTTAGTGTTTTATTAAGCTATTAGATGAGGCATTTCCAACCATTATTGATGTTGGGATTTTTGGGTACCCTGGTGTACTAGTGAGCCAGCCAATATGAGCTGACTCATTTTATAGTTCACAAATAGAAGGGTTAACCAATAAGACGGCTCAAAATTTTCAATGTGACGTGTATAAAGACGGCCATGTTTTTCCCGAATATGCACTGCTAGTTTTTGATAACCCGGACGAGGCTCCGCCGAAGGGCAGAGTCTCATTCGGGGAGGTTGACTGCCCCTGAACCTGTTTATACGCGTTCGAATAGGGAATATTTTTCGCCGAGCCTACGGGATCAGAGATCCCACGTTAATCCCGGCCTTGTGACACATGTAACCCTCATGGGGGGGGTAAGTATCACTGCCAGCCTTTGATATCGAAGACTGAAGAATTACGGAACAGCTGCTGGTGGTATTGGCGATATAGTCAGATTCAGTAGAGTGTCTGACTCGTGAGTGTTAATCTTTAACGTTGTTTCATTGAACAGGATTACGTACTGCGCTGTATTCTATATCCATAGACTTTGGTGAACATGGTCAACAATTAATGTGTGGGCGATTCATTGAAATGTGACATGGAAATCCGAAATCAAATAGAAATACCGAAACGTGACTTTCGAAAAACGAAATAATGTATTAAGAAATAGGAAAATAGAAGCAGAATGCTGAAATGCTATATAACATGTAATCTCTATGGCAGGGAATACTTACAGATGAAGACGGTATTCGAAGTGGCAGGGTGTTTTTGTTGGTTGGTTCTCTCTGTCGCGCCAGAATGTTTTCCTCGCCTGAGTCCATCCTTAAAATCTCTAAATCAACCATTCGCCCTTGCATGGAATACTGCTGCCATATATAGCCTGGAACCCCCGCTCTTCGTCTCAAGGCGCTCGACAAAATCGAGAGACGGATATGCAATGTGATTGCTCCTGATCTGGCATATCGTCTACAGTGACTTTCTCACAGACGTGCCGTCGATTCCTTCTGTCTTTTCTACAAAAACTTTCACTGTAAGTGCTCCCACTATTTTCACTGGTTCCCAAACTGCATGAATTTAAGCGTGTTACTAGGTTGACATCTCAGTCCCACCCTTTCACTGTCGAAACGGTTAAATGTAACCGTCTGTTCTACTCCAATAGCTTCATTTCTCGCAGTTCCCATCTGTGGAACTCATACCTCTTACTTACTTCCCTGATAGCTATAATCTTCAATTATTCAAATGCAATGTCAATCGACATCTTCAGATGCTTGACTTAATTCCCCGTCCTTCTCTCCACCCTTTCCTCTATCACGCCTCTTTACTCTTGCTCCCTACTCTCTGTAACCTCTTGCGTGCTAGTGGCACTTCCGCCTTGCTTGGAGAGAAAGGCTTTAAAAATATCAACCTCTGTAGGTTATTTGATGCCGAAATGAGAATAATTTGAAAAATTTTATGGTTTCAACTAAATATATTTTGAACGTAATTGCATGACTTCAATACACTAAAATATGTTGTTGGTCATCTTGCTTTGAAAACGTGTTGTTGCTAATTTTACTATAAATAGGTATTGTTGCTAATTTTATTATTACATAAAAATGTATTGATGGTGTTTTTACTGAAAAAATGTGTTTTTATACTTTCATAACACTTTGTTTGGAGTTTTACTATTTGCCTAAACCTGAGATCCTGATAGGTGCTATCACCCCGGATCAGGGGGCACCTCGGAACAACGACAATTAAGAGGTTGTTCCACGCTTGTCAAAACCTCCAGTTTCCTAATGAGAGGCCTTGCTGCCGGGTGTAGTTTATCGTCACAGAATGGCAGGGACGTTGTTCTACCGAAGAATGCTTAGACTGCCAAAACGAAACATGTACATAAGGAGTAAAACATGTACATAAGGTAGCTGCTGCTATGAACAAAAAAAAAAAAAAAAAAAAAGACCTTAATGGCTCTCATAATGAAGGAAGAGTGGTTGGAAAATTTAACACTCACTCAGAGAGATATTCAAAACATAGCAATGGCGTCACCGATAGGATCAAATTTTAGAGACAAGGCAAACACTCCATGAGTCCATTATACAATATTTACATTGATTGAAAGAACGAGCCAAGTATTGTGAATTTGAAAAATTTGGAGCACGGGAAATGACTGTAGAAGATGAATTAATCCTTCTCAGAATAATTGAAGGCCTGCAAGACCAAAACCACAAACGAAAAATACTAGAGAAAAGAGACAACGAGTGACCCATGGGCCTTGTACTGGTTGAACAAGAGTAGTAACAAAATACACAGGCTCTGGATGAATATGAATACGTTTTCAACACGTCTTACTATTTTGGAAAATTGAAACAAAAAAGACACACTTAGAACTAGAAAGAGACAGCTGAAATTTCTCTAAGGAAAAGAAGGCATAGTAAAGTGGACACTCACTGGACGTATCGAAGACAAGAGAGACGGAGAAAAGCATTGCATAACCTGCCTAACGAACTTGTGTAAATCGTTGGCAGAACAGGGATAATGATTGATGCCCTAAAAGTTAAACGTTACTAACAGCTAAAAAGAAAACGGAATTGTGGAGAACCATGACCGCTCACGTTCCGAAGGTATACGGCATATAAAAAGAAAATACCTCCCTATTCAATGCAGCCATTCATTTGCTCATTATTTATTGATGTCAATTTCATTGATTTATTACCCCGAACTAGAAAATAAATATCAGCTTACAACGTGTCCTTTTTGCATTAATCAGATTTCATAGTGGTAATAGTAACGTTAATATTAGTTGTTTCCTTATAAGTGAACAGTTGACACTCATTGACCGAGCAGCTAGTGCTACACTCGGTTGAAATGTATAAAATCTTTCTATGAAAACAATTTTTCAGGGAAATCGGTATCTCAAATTCAGTCGATATTATCGCTCTTTCTATTAATGACGGGAGTTTCCTTCCTCTCTTTTTGTTTGAAGTAGTGTGGAACGTAAACATCTTGATTATGTTGTTATCTTCTCTGAGTACAGCTCAGTCATTACGAAGAGCTTTATCCGTGTAAAATGTGTGTGATGTTGGGTTTTCTTTCTCCAAAAATGATCAGAAGAAAACGTCATGAAGCTATTTCTGATCATAAATCTATAGTTGAGACCCGAAAGAAATGCGTATACAACATAAATCCAGTGAAGTAATAATGCAACCGACCAGATACAGAAACAATGGCAAGATAAACCGCTTCATGGCGTATACTCTGCCCGTACCAAACAAGATGACGTAGACAAAACCCGTACCCATCAGTGTCTACGTAGTGCAGGGTTGAAAGCAGAAACTGAAGGTTTTATCTTTGCTGCACAGGACCAATGCTTGTTAACTAGAAATTATCAAGCACATATACTAAAATATTGTGTTAGCCCAAAATGCAGATTCTGTGATAAATATCCAGAAACAATTGATCATCTTGTATTAGTTTGCACTATATTGAAACCCACTGAGTATAAAACCAGACATGACAAAGTGGGCAAATATCTGCACTATTTGCAACTTCTACGGGAAGGAAATTGAAAGAAACTGGTATGAACACCACCCAGACCCGGTTTCGGAGATAGGATCTGTTACAATTCTATGGGACTACACAATACACACTGACAACCGCCCAGATATTGTTATTAAAGTGCTTCCTTATTGATATGGCAGTCCCTTCTGACTGCAATGTATCTTTGAAGATATTCAAAAAGCTATCAAAATACAAGGACCTTGAAATCGAAATCTCAAAAATGTGGCACATGGGAACATCAACAATCCCTGTTGTAGTTGGAGCCCTAGGAATAGTTGGAAAAGATTCCAGTAGACTAATTGTACGGATTCCTGGAAGACCATGCCTCAAAGAAATACAAAAAAGTACATCCCACACTTTACGAACGGTTTTATCTATGGATTTTTTTTTGTCAGTGGAAAGTGCCATGATGCCATTTCTAACCTTAGGTCTCTGGGCGGGACCAGGAAAGAAATGTGTAAACGCCAGAAATGAAATATAATAATAATAATAATAATAATAATAATAATAATAATAATAATAATTTACATCAGCATATCGCTCATATTTATTTCAAACTGTGCGGGCAATCTAACCTAGCTTCACATTAATGCCGCGCTGTTCAATAAAAATGACAACACTACTACTACTACTACTACTTCTGCTACTACTACTGCTACTACTACTGATAATAATAATTGAATTAATGTTAATGAGAGCAGTTAATGATAATAAAATTA